TTTTGTAGTATTGACATTGCGGATAAGGCATTGATTTGCTGAAATTGGAAAATTTAATCTCCGAAACCTAGCAATCAAAATACCATTTTGAAAAGAATAAACACTGATAAGCCCTATTATCAGTAATCACTGCTATTCCGCTTGATTACCTTGTTGTGTTGGGCTTTTCGATGAAAATTGGCTGCCTCTGTAGCTCTAGAAATGAGCAGTTTCCGTCCAAGCGTGTCAATAAAAATCTGTCGAATTCGATCCGAAATTGGAAAATTGGCCGTTCGGAAATGGATATTTTGGACCTGAAAGATTACATCTGTTTTTCTAGATGTCCCAGTAGTCAAAACAAGCTCCCGCTCTAAAAACTCTTCTGTTAGAAAGATATGATGAGTGCAATTCACAAAAACATCGAAAAACGGGACTTTATTGTGAGCTATTAAATGTTTCCAGAAATCCTTAGTCTATACAAGTAATCAAAAGTGATACCAAAGTAAGTTCAGGGTAGAACGGTTTTGTTACAATCAGGTCAATCAGCGTAGAATAGAAACAGAAAGATAAATCAACAGGAAGGGAATGTTCTTTGGAAGGATCTGAATTTCCTGCATGTTCAAAATCGCTCTTTACAAAAGAACTTTATCTACACTCCCACAATGCGACAACACTAATAAAACGGTGGGCGAACAGTTCAATAGAATTCTTGCGAACAGTAATGAGAAAGGGAAAGGGTAATTGTTTTCGAAGAGTCTTTTGAATGACAAGCCCTACCTTCGATGTCTACTAAGGTCAGTAGAACGATTTTTATGCATATTCAACTCATAAGGGGAGTGAGGATGGTTAATTGCCAAAAGGTGCTTTATCATATGCATGGTTCAGGAATCGCTTCCTCGATCAATTTCCGCCCGGGCCAACTATGTCTTCCATCCCTCTGTGAAAGTCGCTCAAGACTCGTCTCAGAGTTTAAAAGCATTGACTCGTACATTGGCTGGCCCTCACAAGTTATTGCGTAGGCTACACACGCATTCAAATGCCATAACGATTTTGAGTAGAACTTAAATACGGGGCGCATCACAAAACGGGATTGATTGAAGCTCAAAGACTTTATCCCCTATTCTTCATTTAACTTGGAGAATGAGTTTCGTGGTAACACAATTGCAGTTTCTGGGCTTTTCTACGGGTAATTGAAGCCCTAAAAACACGAGCTCGTAAAGAGGGTAAGCCCACTGATCTGAACCCAATTTGAGGCCTATAGGTGGGATAAGCGCTTTCAACTAATCAATTTTGTTCCAAAAATTAGTTCAAAACAATTTTGACTTACAAACACTGTGAATCCGACGGACAATGAGACCATAACCATCGTAAAACTGAGATATTTCACTATCAGAGGCATAACAATGCTTGTCGGTGGTATGATTTCGACCTGAACGCCGTGGATGATTACTGTAGCAGTACTGTATGTAGCTTTATTGAAAATCAGGTGACTGAATCATTTAAATCTCACCAAAAGCAAAATGAATACTGTAAGCGAGACCAGGACGGAGATGCAAAGCTGAACCTTCTCATGACTCTCACAGGGTAGGTAGAACACCCATGATGTCAAAGCTGCCAATGAAGCGCATGGGACGATCAGGTTCACCGTATAGAAAAGCTTTTTACGACGGATTTGCAAGTAATAGGTGATATCGACCGATCTGAAAGGTATTTTGCTAGTTATAGTTGGTAATAACAAGTTTCATGGATTTAGAAAGGCCAAAATCGAATATTCTTGAACACCCAAAACATCTAAACATTCCGGTAAGTATGTATGGAAATGGGTATTCAGAAGGAAACCGAAAGGAAGATTTCACTCGAATGTGTTGCTACTGCAACATAAAGATAAATAATTAACGAAAAAATAAAAAAATTCGATAAATTGATTTGGGTTACTTACGGATAATCACAACAGGGATACCATTTCTCGTGACGAGTTCCAAGAATAGATAGCAGATCCCATTCTACTGATTCCTACAACGAAAAAATACTGTAGACACCCTATGTTTCAAGTTACGATGCGGGTGACGGTGGTGTAGTGTGGAGTGATTCATCAGGGGGAGGGAGGGGTAAAAGTCACATACTTGTAAGTCGGCCGGGCACCTTCAGGTCACATACGCATTTAAACGTCACTACGATTTTGAATGGAAGTCGAAGGCGAGGCACTCCCAAAACGACGTTAATCGAGGCCAGAAGCTTTATCATTGATATACAGACGTACAAGCCTTTATTCATGCCCCAGTGTGTCATGACGAGGTGCCTTCTGCTGTTTGCATCCGTGTTCCCGTTCACCAGTCACGCCAAAACGTGGGGATTTGGGTGCACAAGCACTCCTAAGGAATGCTAGACGGTCCCACTACGGGCTGCAAAGGGCCTGTTCCCCTGACGCCAAACCAAAGCGCAGTTTACAAAGTGTCCACAGGACTCTCGGTTATAATCTCACCTGACACACAACGATAATAGGACGCTACCTTTATGATATGCGGGCATAACATGACGAGACTTCAATTGGTGGACAAATAGCGAATGGAATACTATGATGCAACACCGTTACACTGAATACATGCATAAGTAGTTTAAGATGAGATGTGAAGAGGAGATGAGATTAGATGAGATGCGACGATCGATGGTTACGGGAAAAGCCCACTGGACGAAGAGAGGAGAGCATGCGACGATCCACCAGCCAGGCCTAACGACGACATCCGAACGACGAATTGGAGCCGATACGTAGCGAGATGACAAGCTTATGACCATTTTCCCGCGCTTCTGGCAATTTCCGCCTTTCGCGGTAGGACCGACTGCAAATGGATCGGGGGCGCGGTGTCCTCCCGACGCATGCTCCAAACCCGAGTGGTGTACGTGCGAGAGTCACGACTCCATGTTTAAACCCCGTGACAGCCTTCCACAGGGTTGCCGATCTGTTCGGAAATTTGGTTGAGGTGGGATCAGTAAGGAAATAAGGGTAAAGTGGTCTACTGCTATCCCGACTCCTAGAATCAAGCAACTTAAATACGCCTTCGAATTGTTGTAAGGACCTGAACGTGTACCGAGGGTATTGTCTTCCCTCAATCGACTGCGCCACTAAACTGACCTGATAAGTTGAAACATCCACTCCTCGTTCCACGTCCCATTCACTCTCATTTTTACGGACTACATATTTAACATCATCTGAGAGTAACTGAAAAACTTTACTGATAAATTTTATATTGAGTAATTACAGAATCAGAAGAAAAGGATCAGTTGACTAGAGAGATAAAGTGCGTTCAGAATCAACTGAGGCAAGGGCGCTATTGAAGTGGCCACAGCTCATCGGTCCGAAAGGTTGGGCTTTCACTCACATGCATCAAATCCAATTGCGTACCACTGTAGGTCCAACTGCCAAATTTCAGCTCACATTGTTGTATATCATAAGGATACCACTCGACATTCATCGTACAGAATGAGTGATAGACAACTGGTGGCTCCCATGTCTGAAGGTAAAAACCTAATCAAAATAGCCTCCTCTACGGAATGAAAGACGGTCTACTCAGTGTTTACGAGTGCGCCTGTATTTATCCTCCACACAAAGGCCAACCGATTTAATGAATAACTTGATCCATCATAATTCCGCGATATAAGATGGGATCGAGGCTTTCAGAGAGCTTCATCAATCTCCCTTTGACATCGGATGTGGTGCAGTAGGAACGAAATTGTCGCATCGCGGCGAGAGAGACGGCGCGCGCGAAGGAATGTAGCAGAATGTAGCAGCAAGTAAGAAATTCAGGAAACAAAGAGTTACTAGTAGAATCATGCCATAAATAATAATCGTATATTGATTAAGCTGTATGGAGAACGCTAGAATTGTTATGATGAGGCAAACGGTTCACGAAAGCCGCATGCGGCGGATCGATTACCCAAAACCGTTCCTATACTGCCCGTCTCCCTTTGACATCAAATGACAAATATTGGTGGCACCCTAACAGTGATTGCCCTAAAGTAGTGGATAATCCGGTCATCTCCCTTTCTCAGCGTTACCCATGGCTGTAAACTAAGATGACAGGGACTTCTATCACTCGATTCATCTACTATTATTATGTTTTAGACAGTATTCTGGCTATATTGTTTGCGCTTACCACTCTTCCATCGTAATATACATGAGCCTTAGTGATAGCCGAAACCCATGGGCTGCCATGTGCGCTGAAAATTTTTTATGATGTATTTTGTTTTAAAGCTAAAAAGAAACATCAAATGGCTTTTAATTGATATAAAAGATAAAAAGGGTGATGAAATGCGAGAAAATAGTGCCATATTATCCCGAATAGTGTATCAGTTGGAACTCTCAAATAGGTCGAGGCCCCAGTTCAATCTCTCCTCCAACTCCTCGAGTCATAAGCTTTTCAACTAGCCCAATAGAATCCCGACCACTTTTCACACCTACTGTGACGTCATCAACATTGAGAGGTAGTGAAGGGAGCTTACAATATGTGGGTTGAACGGTATTAACTTACTTATTATAGAGAATGATATCGGGTAGCCAGATCATCTCCCCAGGTACATAGAAATTCCTGATTCCTCCATATTCCTCGGGTTTCCACGACAGACGATGGTCATACCAATGCTGAAAACATTGACACAAAAATCCGAAATCCGAAAGTTTGCAGTAGCTGGAAACTGTATCTCGTCTTTCCAAAACCATCACACCTATCCCAGTTCTCGCAAATGCTGAGAAGTTTCTTCAATACTTTACTCAAGGAGGTGTTAAGCCAAGAGGATGTTTATTAAGAGTTTTTTGCTAAGTTTTCGTCATTTTACCAATAGCAATTACCCAAGTGGAGCCTACCCAGATTTTTAAGGGGCGACTGATCCTGTCTAGTACACTAGCCGGCTTTACGATAGCAACAGAGGTCGAAAAGAAAATCGTAGTAGCAACAGGGTGGACGAACGACGAGAGGAGATGAGACTATTTTTTGGCATTTGGACTAGCAGAGAAAGGAAAAGTATAGGTGATGGAATGAATAGACGAGTGACTGCCGATGCGGACATTTATGGTTGATAGTGAATAATTACATTCTGATTGACGCCCTGAAACATACATGAATAAGCCATCCATTTGCAGTAAGTGTCTGATGTTTGGCATGGACGTCAACGATTTGGTTCAATTTCAATTTGAATTCGATGTGGATCGTATCGTTTGCATCCACTGCTGGTCGCACTAATCGGTTATAACTGAAAAGTTAACGTATCTTAGTAAACTCCTCCTTTTGTTGCTCCCGCTCATTATGTTTCCTCAACACTGTGAATCAGCGGAAGCTTTGTATTCATTGTTTCATACTTCAAAATTACTCATTTACTGGGAACCAAAGTGTAAGTCGATTGACTTTGCTTAGGTGGAAAGGAAAACGAGACTGGTAGTTGACTACGGTATTGTTTGAAGCCCAACTAAAATATTTCCGCTGCATACGACGGTGCCATGACTCCAGTAATATTCAAAAAGTGAACTACAAATTTTTTTGACGCTGATCGAAGGCACTGGANNACTAAATACGGGGAAACAGTGAAGTTTGAATAAGTGTGAAGCCTATAAACCAATTTGTGATGAGCAGGTGCTTTCACCCTTCCAGGTGAATGAAGTATCCAATAATAGACCGCTTAGGATAGTTGTCTTTATTGCTTCATTGACTTTAAACGGGAGGAAGAGGGGAGGTGAAGGGGAGGGGGGTATTGCCATTAATTCTGGATGTGTTCCTCTGACTGCCTAGTAGTACTGCCCATTGGTACTGCCCTTGGTATTGCTTCCTCCCTATCTCCGAATTTTCTTATACACGGAGCGATATTTACCGGCCATTTTTTAAAGGCAAATTTCGAAGTGCAGAGCTGGAAATGATCTTATGGTGAATATTCCATCTTTAAACAGACCTTAGAATGCATGAGAGCTACAATTTCTCCACAGCTACACAGCACGAACAAAAAATGTTTTTTTTTTTGTAAGTTCACCGTACCTGCCTAACAGTGTCTCAAACAGATGGTTGTAGATGTTCGCGTAAGTGATGGCCAAACATGAACTCAGATAGAGCAGCCACATTTAAGAACACGGTCGGCACACAGAGGAACGGAAGGAGAGGAGCGGGTGTTGTTGCGAGAAAACTCGTCAAGCCAATCCAACTCACCCAATATCCAATTATTCAGCGGCGTTCAAGTAGTTAGGAGGGCACTGGGCAACTGGATAGCCCTCATAGCCTAACCGTATGAGGGTAGGTTTCGTGGAGGGAAGTTATTACCTATACTACTTTTTCTTATTTCTTGTTCTTCTTCTAAAGTTGTACTGAGAAATCTATAACGTCATTCTGCTATATGCACACATCCAGAAAAGCATTGGAGCCTAAGGAAAAATAGGCACAAAAGCTTATTTGGCTATGAAAAACTGGTTTTGGAGGTTCTAGTAGGTACACAAAGTGCGTCACTTTATTAATGTGCGAAATGGGTTGTACTGCCCCATGGGGTATTACCACATGTCCAGTTTAGGGATCAAATCCCTGCTCGATATCAACCCAATTCAATCACGCATTTAGTCCTTCCGGAATCGATCAAGACCGTCTGGGAAGATAAAAGCACTATTTGTAGTTGCTGTTCGGCTTTTGCTGCCGAATTCATGAATGGTACAGGCCCAATACGCATTCAAACGCCTTTTCGATTTTGAATGGAAGTCGAGTGTGTGGCGCATCCCTCAGGCTAGATTGATCTACGCTCAATGACTTAATCTTATCTCTGCTGACAAGATGGTCGATAACCATGTGTGGGCGGAGTTAGGAATCCTAACAATGAGAAGCAGAAATGAAATGAAGAAGAGAACTATTACCCGTAAATAAGAGCTTTCGCCACTTGATAAATAGTAACCACCGGGTCAGGGGTGTCCCTGAAGTTAAAGTAAAAAGAGGAGTGAGTTCATCCTAACCAGTTGTTGTCCTTTACTGGTGTGATATCCGCCAAGGAAAGTAAGACTTCTTTCTGGGGTCAGCAATCTGGTACCGTAATGGTCTGGGAGGATAAAAGCAGTGACTTGTGCATCTGTTGTTGATACCACAAGTGATTGTTTAGGCTACATGCACATTCGGATCCTCCTATAATTATTGATGGAATCGAATGTACCTCACAAACGGGACTGGTCAACTACAGAAGAATTCATCCTTTGAACCATGGAATCAGCAGCAATGGCAGCGATGAGTTTCTTGAATTGCCCGCTTTTTTTCCTAGAGGATGAGCCAATCGGTGCCCATGATAACAAGCAATCTAATTGTAAGCATTTTCATGCTAAAAACTGTGCATGTACGGTTCATCCGATCNCCGATCAGCTGGAAGTTCTAAAGTTTTTCGCGTTAGGTCAACGGAGGCTAATCTCTCTAGATTAACAGAAAAATCTTCTGATCCAGATTCTCACGGCATTTCGTAGCTAGCATCGTTTTCAGGACAAAACAGCTTACTCCCCTCAATAAGCTCGTACAACACCTCGTCTTTTCCGTTGAAAGTATTCATGAAAAGATCCAACCATTGAATCGGCAGCCGTCCTTCTGTTCTCATTCAGTGAAACCTAGTCAGTGGCAGTGGCACTTCAATGATCCCACGGAATATGTTCTCCCGTCCACCAGATCTCCCATTCCGCAGCATGCAGGACCGGGCGTCCCTGCTCCTCGTTGGTTCAAGTTCAATTCCGGGCCTGTAAGGAACTTCAAAAAACTTCCCCCTCCCCTAGTATCTTTCCAGCAGCGGTTGCATGGCGTTGACCATGTGCTCATCCCTATGCAGAAGTCAAATTCTCTGAGGCGTAGATTAGAGATGGAGAGTCTATTTAACCAAAAACGACACAAAGCATGTTTTTTATCTTTTCTACTACTTCGTTGGCATGCCATCTGACGCGCTGTAGGGCACGTGCAGGGGTCATTCCCGGCTTGGGATCCTCTCACGTAAACCGTCCCTGTAGGGTCGGGTAAATCGCAACATCTCGCAAATCCTTCTTTTAAATTTGATGATTCTGTGCCCGCAAGCGGAATGTTGAAAGGACCAGGTAAGATATGGTCACATCAAAACTTCTGTACCCTCATTCCATGCCATCCCGTTAGTCTCAAAGCAGTACGAGCGGCGGTTGTGGTGTGATCTCGAACTCGAGGGTACTGAAGATTACCCTAAGGATGAACTGTCAGTCAGAACATTCCCAATCTCATTTTTCAAAAAACTTCCAGCTTGTCCTCGTCATAGATTACACCTCCTCGTAGGTGGAGATGCTGGTCAGACTGACAAGAGCGATTCCTCAGTGACATCCACGAGGTTGACAGCTTTTCGCAAAAACCGATGTTCACGGCCGAAAAAAAGTCTGACTAACCCTTATCAATGTTATTCACCTAAAAAACGTCTACCTGAGCTCTGCCTTCCAAGCGGTATTCCGAAACTAAACTGAACTATTATCGACTAGCTAATTCAGAGTTGAAAAACTTTATCAAGGACTATACCCTCTGTCTGTACACCTGTGCCGGATCGCTGCGTTGTTCACTTTTGAGGTCAAGGAAGGGCTCGATCCTTGTCTCGTAAATGTAGAGGTTGCCCCATGCGGTAGATTCACATTCAAACCGAACGACGAACGGACAAAGCAGTAGGGAAGCTCAGCGTTTGAAGATAGGAGGTCCTCACACGATTTCCTGCAGCCCAACACCTTTCCACTGTCAACGAAGGACGAACAAGGGACCCGTGAGCCCGAATACCACCTTCAAATAAAAAAAAGAAAAATACAATTTTGTATAACACTGTAAACAATACACAGATTGAAAATGCTTTTATCAGTTTTGTGTCGTTAGTTTTGTCCTGCAGTCACAGCGCTGAAACTGAACTCACAAAACATATGCTGGGCGTAAAGCTCAACAGAACAACGAGAAATATAAAAAAGGCAAAACTACCGGGCCACTCGGATGCGGATCAGAGGCGAAAATGACATGGAAGGGGTGCGTGCGTATGCGTTGCGGACGCCATTTGACGAACCGCAGCGCACACGCGCGCATACCATTCAGCCGTTTTACACCCATGGAACGAAACATGACTATTTAACCTATGCCTGCAATCGGACAAACTCACAAAACACTTGCACACACGAAACATATATGTATGTACTTATACGTAGAGAAGAAATATAATAATAATAATAATAAACGAACATGAACCGTATGATGAGATCCGGTAAACGTGCAAACGCTACAAACAAGGAAGGAGATAGAAGTTATCAACAAAGTAGTGTATAACAGGTACAGGATACAGCGGGGAGCGTTGTAGATAAGAGTGACGCAAAAATCCGACTTCGTGATGGTTGATAGACGAAAGGATAGGCCGAATTTTTGGGGGGCGCGGTCGAACGCACGCGATAGTTGTGAAACGCTGGGATTTATTCCAAAAAACTCTTGTAATCATATTCAGAATCTGGTATTAGAAGCAGTTTTGGGTTAGATGAGGGTTAAAGAACGAAATTACTTACAAAGAGAAAAACCGAATAAACTAGCTACTATGCTTGATATTTGCCTTTCAAGGAGTATGGAAAGGACGAAAGGAGAGGGACGCGCGAAGCACGACGACACACTATCATTGACAGCAGAAGAGGAGAAGATACACGGGTCGATCGATGTTCCGAAGGTTCATGGACGTGGTGTAGGCGACGATTTCCGGGCTTACGACGATGACTGGGAGGACGTTGACGACGACTGTGATTAAGATCGATGAACGGTACGACGACAAAGATGACTAGTTGGAACGAGCCGGATTAGCCGGCGCACCGAATTTGCCCATACGGGAAGCCAGAAGAGGATCGTGTGGCGACAACGCGCACGGCAGACCTGATGAGGTCATATTTCCTCGAGATGACTGCTCGAACAGCACGTGCTCACCGGTCGGCGACGAATGGTGCTGTTGTAGCGCGGTGTAGCTGAAAATATAATTTTTTGCATTACGATAGGAAATAGACAAGTAGTAGTAAAACATTAAACAACACAAAACTAATTTTGAGGCACGGCTTTTCAACAGAATCTAATAGCAGTTTGATTATAAGATTTAAATAAGCGGAGCTTCTATATTTGGATTATTTCAAATCTAAATTAATCAAGTAGGTGATAAAATTACCATTAAAAAAGAGGTACCATTACTGGCCTCTGAGCAACCGTATTCAAATACAAATATAGATTTCAAATAAAAACTGTGGACCCGAGTACAGGAAGAAAGTGGACTCCAATTCCGAATGATTTGCCTTCCTTTGCTACTGATTCAGTTCAAAATCTGGGACCATTCCGCCGGGGACCACTGATCAAATACAAGACAACGAAACTCCGTATGGTAGGTAAAAGGATCGAAGAAAAGATAAAGGCGTCAAAGTAGTAGGAACAATTCAGCCTATGTAGAAGGCTAAAAAGGATGGTCGTTGCCTGAGAGAGACAGCCGAAAGCTGAAGCACCGGTAAAAGTAATACTCTTGGAGTGCAATGAAGGGGTTGCAGCGAATTAACATTACAACAAGTACCATAAATTCGGACCTCAGAAGTGAGCATCAGAAGAACAACCCTAATTGACAACACAACCTCTGAAGTTCATCTAGTGGGGAGAAACCCCTTGATAATTGCAGCATTCATTGACCGTTAAACCTTCCAACTGCCACCTATGTAATGGACACACTATAACTGGTCTTCACGGTCATTATAACATACATAAGAAACGATGATTAGCTTTGCAGTCCCAGTTAAACCCGATGATTAAAAAAACGCAAAAGTATTGCAGACATAAGATTGAGCTGCGCTTTTCAAAGTTTGAACTAGTTCGATGGCAAAGAAAATTGAAGCAGCCAGAAGTAGCTGTCTGCTGAACAGTGATGAAACCACCAAAATGTCTAAATTGAGGAAATTCGTTATGATAGTGGTGTGGTGGGTGAGCCATTTGTCACATAACTTAGGATGTCCAGCTATCCGTTACCAGTGACCCTACCAAAATAGGAAAACCAAAATATTGTATCCTCCCACTGTTCGCAAATGAGATTGGAGATCAGCGAAGCGGCGTAAATCGGCTATCATCGGATATCAGACAGGGATGAAGCCATGATTAAAGGTAAACCCGGAAATTTCTCGAAAACCCCGTTCCCTTATCCTTGGTGTGGAAAATAAAAATCAACGCATCCCATCGCCTACTCCACAGTGATTAAGATGTAAAAAGGGAGTGTTCCAAATGTCGTAAACACCCTTTGGCACTCTCAGTCCTGGATGCAGTGATCCACCATTTGGCACTATTTGTTCCTTCCGAATTCACCCGAATCGACAGCAATCCGAGTTATCGGTGGAGGAGGAGATAATATGGCACACGGATGGCGGAGGTCCGCGCGTCCGCAGATGCGCGCGGCGAAATGGGCGGCGAAATTTCTGGCGATCTGAACGTTTTAGCGCTTACCATTGGGGCCCAAATCTGAAGTAAACTAGACTAGCAGGACTGAATGTACCCATGCCCGTTCCCAATAGACATAAAATGAATATCGGCGCAACATATTTCAATCCCACCCCTTCAACAATATACTTGCAGGGTAATGCGCACTCTGGACGAAAAATGTGGGTCGTGGATTAAATGTGCGAAAACTGAGAAGTTGGTGGAACCCTCAAGTTGCCTCTACCTATTCCATTCCTTGTGACAACTTAATTCAAACACAGCGGCAAAAGTTGAACGTGCAGTACGGAAATTTCATAATCAAAATGATAAACATAAAAAAAAACATATAAAATAATTCTAATAAAACTGATCATTGAATAATAGTGAAACTAATGACAGACAAGCACAAGGATGGTTTTAAAACTCACAGATTCCCATAAGCAACACCCATATGTGTGGAAGACACGTTAGTAGTCGACATGTTTGAGTCCATTTTCTGCGCTTGACTGATAGGCAACTGGTATGCGGAGATGCTGTGCTGTTGCTGAGGCTGCTGTTGCTGTGGTGAAATCTTTTCTGACTGCCCTAGCGAAGCAGATGGTGGACGAGCCACTGACACAGACAACGGCATACCGGATGTGATCTCGAAGGCGCGAAGTTGACCTGAAAAAGGCAAATTGAGATAAACAATAAACAAGCAGTGAGTAAATAATCAAGATCAAAATAATTAAGGGTCCCAGAGATTCTAAACAGCAGGCATGCATGAAAGATCAATATGAAACTTTGGTTTTCAGAACATTTAACCTCATTTCATTACCTCATCAAAAATGACCAGAGCGTTAGCACTCCAAACCCGAGCGCTTCCAATCTCCATGACCGGAAACGCGCACAGGTATGGCGATCAAGGAAGAGCGGTCTTCTATTTTATCGGTATCATCCGATACACTTTTCATCTTACGGACTAAACTGTGAGGCAAAAAATTATACCGAGAAAAGAGTGGAAAGGATGGCCATTGATGAGGCCAGGCTCTCAACCTTAAAGTTCATTTCAATCAATCACTTATTCCATCATCACCACGGTCACGTACTCAATCATTCTATCGCCCTCTATAGCGCAGATATGTGTGCCATGCCCTGTCAGCGCATTATCTTCGCTCCCAGTTGGTTCCCACTGATGTTACCCGAGCCCCCCAATAGCTCATAAACCCTGATATGAGAGCTTCACAGTACAATACCAACAACACAACTGAGACCCCGTTAATGGAACAATGAAAATTGATTCTGCATACTTAGGTAATCTTACAGTCGCTTAGAGCTAGGGAAGAGATTGATTTTTAAGAAGGCAAAGAACTGACAAAAAAAGGCAAGGTCCAAACGCACTAAAAACCTATACTACAATATATCCATCACAAGAGAGAGAATTAGGGAGCAGGGAAGGATGAAATCTTTCGAAGGTCACAGAGCTTTTTGCGACGGTTCGCAAATGTTGCAGTCAACCTAGTATACGGCACCTGGTATACACCAACCGAAGACTGTCAATTCTACCATCAAAGGTTACAGCAAGAATGACCGCGTTCTGGATAAATACTGTGGGGTGAAAATAAAGATCACAAGCTCACATAGAAACAGAAATAACTCATTGCAAGCTGAGTAGAAGATAGTTGCACAAATGCACCTCAACAAATCAAGGAGAAGTGCTTGGTTACGTTTGCTTTCGATGCGCTTGAGTCCATGAGCAACAGGCGCCGATGGCATTTACCTGCACCGTCAAGCGCGTTCACCTTCAAGTAGCGCGACGCAGTGATGAAAAGGCAATCGAGGCAAGATAAGTATGAGTATGCTCACTCAATCGTAGTACGCTTCACTCAGAGTGCTTAGGCGCAGACCTTCTCCACATACAAAGTTAGGTTCAACGTTGCCAAGAGGCAGATTGCCAAGCGTGCATATAACGTCGGAGCTTCGGCCGAGAAATGTCAAAGTCTACTGTCGCATGGTCGGACGAGCAGGGATACACTAAGGTAATACCACTAGAAGAAATCAAGAAAAGTTGTGGCAAGGTTTAAAAGGAATTCCGGAATAAGAAACTGACTGTAAAATCGACGAGATAATGAAAAAACTCAAAATTGGTTGCAATAAAATGAAAAAATAATGTAAAAAATACGAAAATGGCGGCAATTTATACGAAATTGCCTACGACGTTTGCAACTGAGGATGAAAACCCTGTGTTACATTCAATAGGGGTACAAGAAAAGAAAGATAAGGATATCAAAGGAGGAGCACGGGGAATCAACTCCGACAAAGATACGAAGGTTTCCAGGTGAATACGAAATTAAATTCTTCAAATTGACTTCCCCTAAAGCTCGCCGTATGTCGGCTCGGACGATTGAGCAATTTGTAACAGCTATTATTCAGACAATGGGGAAGAAGCTAACGAAACAACACTATGCATAAGAGACCTTAAAAACCACCACCCCAAATGAACAAGCAAATTTAGTTTGAGATTTATTAGAGTAAAACAAAAACTCTTACTCTGAAGATGAGCATTGTTGGCCTTAGCGTCACCAAGGGCACGAAACAATTCTTGCTTAAGCTTGTTCTCCGCCGCTAGCGACTCTTCCAGATGAACCATTTTCTCTCGCATAATTCGCAAATCCATATTCAATGCCTTAACAATGGTTATTCACGCATATTCTATACAATGCCAGAACACAATATGGGAAGTAATTTACCATATGAGAATGGAAACAGGGGAAAAGAAGGATGAAATAGTCCGTAACTATTCAACCCCATCCAAAACCCATAATACCGCCGCACCCTAACCCAAATCCCAGTTTCTCATCTTCCAGCTACACAGTTTTATAGACTATTTACCCTAGATCTAGCTTATTGTTATCAGCAGGAATAGAACGTATCATCATACCTCGACATCATTGGTTTCCTTGTATTTTCGAAGTGCATGAAGTTCCTTTTCAATGTCAGTCACCCTTTCTTCTCGAGCTAGCGCTTCACTACGGAGACGATCCACCTCATGCTCAAGCTGCCGTTCCTTCTCACGTTGCTGTTCCACAGAATCCAAACTAAACAGGAGAGACATCCTCGCATTACTGGTTGCCAGATAACCCACCTACGTTCATAAAACAAGCAAAATGATCAAGTAAAGTAGGAGTCATAAGGAAGACTAGAAGAACTAAAACAACTCAAAGACAAACCGTCTTCCGCCATCCTCCTTACGGGCCTTGCGCTCATCCATTAGCTCACGCTCGACATCATTCTTCCTGTTCATCAACTCAGCATATTTCTTTTCCAACTGTGACAGAGAATTGCGGTCCACATCTCTCAACTTCTCCATTGTCGCATATCTAAGAGTAATCTAATCTATCTTGAAATATAATGACAGATCCATTCTAAGTGCCTCCGCACCGATTAATTGAACTATACCAAATCCGAAAAAAAAAATCAAAATTAAAGAAAGAAAGGAATTCTTTACCTCGCTTCCATCTGTTCCAGTCTCGATCGCAATTGAACGGCTTCTTGTCTTGCATGCTTCTCGTTATTTTGACTAACAGAGAGTTGTATTCTCGCATCAGCTTCGGCCGTCTTCAACTGCATCACCTCAGCTCTGAGTCTTGAGAATTGCGGTCCACATCTCTCAACTTCTCCATTGTCGCATACCTAATAATAATTTAACAAATTTCGAAAATAACTGCACAAACCTATTTTGTCTTTGAACTGATAAGTTCAAACATCCCAGACTTGAATAAAAAACTAAAATTAGAGAAAAAACGAACTCCTCACCTTGCTTCCATCTGTTCGAGTCTCGATCGCAATTGAACTGCTTCTTGTCTTGCATGCTTCTCGTTATTTTGACTAACAGAGAGTTGTATTCTCGCATCAGCCTCGGCCGTCTTCAACTGCATCACCTCAGCTCTGAGTCTTTCAGCTTCCAGCGACGAGACGCTAAAAAGATTTTCCACAATATCGTAAAATGATTATCAAAGCCTGTACTACTAGGAAAAGTATTTTCAAAAAAGGTCTAAAAACTTAACAGGACCGAAATACTATCAAACCTATTAGTATCGGGCCCATTCTCTTTCGGTAAACTTGGATCTCTCACAGTCTCATATGTCGTACCATTTGCTGTTTTGCCGTTCGATATTGCAAGGCCATTAGGCTATAATGTTAACAAATGAAATGAAGACAGCAGAAAAACAAGGTTATACTATAGACCGGGGAAACTTAATGAACAGAGAAAATACGATAATCTTCAGAAACGCACTTTTTCCCTTTCTAACGCATTAGCGACAATGACCTTTTCTTTCGTCTTCGTGCTGTCTCGTGCACCACGTCCGCCTTTACGATTTACTGCAGCACATGTCGTCGTCGCTACCGACGCTCGCAGCTGCTTGCTAACATCGCCGTTGCTCGAACGAGACAACTGAATACATGGTTACAGAAGAAGGAAATTATGGAAAATAATGGCTGTGAAAGCTGTTATTGATGGTGTTCTTCGGAAGGATTTCCCCTGAGAAAGATCAAGATGGCCCGCTGGCAAACTATCGGCTGCAAATTCCACCAGTCAGCCCGTAAATTGACCAACCCTCAAGGCAACCAAGCACTTCACCCACGTAAGCAGAAACTTCGATGAATTGGAGCGCAAGCTAGATATGACATTCCTCCTAATTGGGTAGATTTTTGGGTTTTCTGCTCAAAGTTACTGAAATGAATTCTGTCCCCAACGCTAGTAATCGAACACGTACAGTTGCCTACTACTGGAATAAGAACATCTAGGCAAAACACATAAATGTAGTCATAATTCATTTTTTGTGAGTGGCAGTAACGACATCGGGCTCTCATAATAGGCTAATAAAAAATTATTGGCTGTCCAGCGGCTAGAAACTTACCAGGTAGCAGCGTTCTAGCTAACTGAACGTATCGGGAATCTCAGCTTGACGGGTACCCATTAATTATTAGCCGTTTGAGGAGCAATGATGATAAAAAACTACTACCTTCTTTGCATTCTCTTCTGGTATGCTGTAATCGTCATCGTCGTCACCACCATAACTGGAATCGTCGCGAACGTCGTCTCCCGACGATGGCCACACCACTGTCGTCAACCACACGAATGCTTCCCATGCCAAACGCACCACGGATAAACCTCCCGAAGGAGTCATAGAGTCCGAGTCACGCCAACATAAACTNGAAAGAAGTCAGTTGCTGCAGTCAAAACTGTATAAATGCTTTGAAAATATGGAACTCTTACAAAATTGGTAAAATGTTTTGTAAAACGTATTCCATGAATTGTTCAATGCAAAATCTTTCTCAGCAGCTCTCTTCTGCCCTCACTACCGAAGAAAAAAAAATTAACAAAACATGTAATGGCGCCATCTTCATTCCATACCTTCACTTTCCTCATCATCTTCCCGATCGCGTCGTTTCTCTCCAGTTCCGCCAGTTGTTGACCCAGTACCACCTGACTTCGCTAGTGATGTCGTGTTTTGATTGTGTGAAGCGGCTATCGCTGCTGCTGCTTTCGTTCGACCTGATCCACGTTGTCGCCCACCCAGAGATGCCACCTGAAGAAAACTACGTCTAGAAGGAAAAAGAGAACCAACGAAAACGGTCCTACAAAATGTCAGCTTACCTTGCCGGATGCCCGCTTTGTAGAATGTACATGATGAACAGTCCCATTTGTAGCAGACGTCGGTGGCGGTGGCATCAACATTCCCTGCCCTGCACCATTCGTTAATTCAAGCAAATCGCTTTCTGAAATACAAAATGTCATTCTAATTTCGTCAGTGATTTGCCCTCGAATCCAATCAAATGAGTGAAATCTCGTCAATGACCCATTTCAATCAGAATACGCCACGTATTGAGCTAGCATTCGTAATTAAACCTAATATTTGAATGCTCCTCGTTCAAACAACTGCGCGGTCCAGGAAATGAAGGTATAAAGTGAGCTCAACTAATCAGTTGTAAGCCTAAGATTAATAAAGCAGGCCTGTTCATTCGAACAGTATTTGGAACGGGGTTTGATAACAATGATGTGCGTGGTAGATGAGCCACTTGACACCGTCCCCTTTTCATTCTCTATAGGCACGAAGAAAATTAACGAAGGCGATTTCAGCTGACCTCACATCTCAAGTATCACCATTCATCATCCAAAACACGACACAATGAAATTTCCGTGCGATTACCCAAAAACGAATCCAGTGGGGAAAAGAAATCAAGTAAAAAGCATGTGAAAAATGCCTACTGAGGTAGGCATCTTTCCCATGCATCCAGTCGATTGCACTTCTAGGTAAGAGCAGATATCTACTGCATGGAAACCCTTTCCACGCTGCCTAGCACTCATTCCCAACTATCTTCGAGTATAATCTTCTATTTCGATTTCCAGTGTTTCGAGGGAAAGAAGAGATAATGGGACAAAAAAAGGCGCAGCTTTTCTTCCTTGCAAATTATGAGGCCAAAATATAAGGAAAGAGATTGACTTTTGAAAGAAAGCCTTCCCAGACATAATGCTGGGGGACACGAACAAAATATGTGCATCGCTCTAAATTAGCCATGCTTTGTCATATTCATGGCAGAGAATATCAACGGTTGCCTGCATTTTCTATCAATAAAGCAAACATTCATCACTTTCATTGTTATAAATAGAACGGACCACCTAATACTTAAAGAAACACTGAGAAACTCTTAACAGTGAAAGAAATCGCTAGTAAATAAACATCATTTTTGTGGAAAATAAGAGATCCGTGAAATATGTAACTAACTGTCACGTTGCACGAACCGCAGGTTGTTTTGTATCCAAGGGTTAGCCCCTGTGTGTATCAAATTCAACAGTTTCGTGCACTCAATCAATATCTGCCCAGAGCAAGGAACCTATTCTACTATCCTAATCACTATGAGACGTGGAAACGTGTTTATTCAAAAGATTCAAAACCCTGGCTGAAGCTACCAATTTCTAATCGCTCTCCAGTATACGGTAAGAAAATTTCTTAGCCAACTCAGAGAGAAATGATGTGTGGAGGAAGGCTTCAAATGATGGACATAGAGAGACTGATAAAAGCTGAACATTTCTTGATTGCTCAGCGCTCTCTGAATAAAGGAGCAAAAACATCACAGAGCACAAATTTGATAAAGAAATAAAAACAAAATTGGAAATACATCGTACCGTCATCGAGCAACGCGCTCTTCGCTGAGTAGTCTTTCGGACCCTCATAAACCGCCGGTAACGCTTCCGTCAACATTCGCGCAAGAACCTCGTTCCGTCGACACACATCGTCCTGCTTGCGACGAATTCTCCATTCCCTGTAATTAACTCTTTAACCCTGATTCAACGACGCGGACATCAACGAGGGGAATTTTTAAGGGCCACAAATATGGTAAATAACAAGAGTAGAAGAAGATTGTACGTCTCCGCAGCTGACATTTATTTAATAAAATCCGAAAATTGAGGTGAATTAGGAAGCTCATTCAATCTTTTCCTTTACGCTGCTTCCGCTTCTCCAATCCCCCCAATGCTTTAGCCCTCTGACCCATTCCAACCAACATGTACAGAGCTGCGCAGAATCTCATCACCCATATCGATTACTAGAGCCCATTATATCCAAATACTACTTGAAGTGGAGTACAACACCAATCGAGCAGTAAACGGTGACATATTGGACTATTTAAAGCCTTCGACATACTTCGTGTAATCGCCTTCCATCTACAGCGGCAAAAATGTTCGACGACACTTCAGAATGAGCAGGCTACACCCATGTACAAAAAGTCCCGAAACCATAACGTTTGCTTTTCTCTAACAAATCTATCGAGTTGCAACAGAACTTGCCAAGCAAACATGCCTTTTGAAACGAATTTTCCCCCAATCAATATTCCCCCGCCGATCCAACTATCCCCAACATTTCCTGTCTAGGACACATGTGTTACTGCATCGAACGACGCGGTTACAACCTCGAAAGTGGGCGGCGATTGTGAGGACAACAGCAGCGAGTAATTTGCGTTCGCCGCATCACAACACGCTTGGCGAGCACTTCGTCCGAAAATCAATATAAGATACTGGCTATCCCTTTATACATGTCACCTACCGCAAATGGAGAAAAAACCACTCAAGCGCCAAAACCCGTGAACACAATGCACTGCGACCTTCTCTGTCGCATTTCGAGAAGGTAATTCACAGCAATTATTGAGTGAGTGGGGAAAGAAAAAGCAACAGAATAGCAAAACGACTTGGACAGATTGGGAGAAATTTGTTCTCCATTCATTATAAACTTATCATAACCCATGAGCAAGATAAACGAGAACAATTGCGGTAGAATGGGGAAAGACATGGAAAGAAGGAGGGGAACACAAAACAGCAAAAAAAAAAAACAGTAGAGTCTGAACGTGATAACAATCCCAAATATATGAGCACTAGCTAACCAAAGGAAAGAACAGCCCTACAGCTCCATGTGGATTCTGCCCACAATTGACCGATCAAGCAATTATTATCTTGGAAAGGCCCAAACGACAGAAACGCCTAGAACAAAATTAGATGTGCGAAGTGATCCCCTTTGAAGTGTTGATCATATCACTTTATTGTGAAACTGAGGCAGCTTCTTTACCCTTCCACAATGATGCTTACTTTTCTGCAGGATAACCATCCCATCGCCGGTAATCGAGAATTCTCACACTACCGCCTACCTCCAGATCCCTTTCATACAGCCCTTACTAATTTTGCTCACACATATTTAACTAGCCCACCAAGACCTATTGCCTCATCAGCATTGACGATAAAAAAAATGCTTCCAAAAAACTGTTGAACCTTTTTCGTGCACGCGCAAGAACAATTATGTCGACACAGCTTGATGAAGGAAAGCCATAATAAATTATAACAAAATAACGAAAAATAGGAAAGAAACGGTCAGCAAAAAAGAAAAACTCACTTGAAATAGTACCGTAAACTGAAGGAGATTATGACTAGTGGATATCCTATACAATGCGCACCGAAAAATGAATTTAAACTCCGTGGTATTACTGGTGCCAATCCTTGTGTTTGTAAACAGCTTGCTGTAAAATCTAGACAATGGCCATGCATAGAAAATTGCAGTAGAATGGTTGAACCGAAAGTAAAACGGTTCGATGGTTTGAAACTTACGACAGAGGTAATGAAGGAAGGGCACATCTGAACCGACAATTTCAAGATGAAAACATCTGAAACAAGCCATATTAGAAATGCATAGCCTCTGATTCCTATTTAAAAACAAAGCTTAAAACAGTTACTAACTTTAATCGTATTCCCGCCTCAAACGCTACAATGAATATCCAAAAAACTAGAGCAGAGAAACATTGTTTTTCTAAAAAAAAAATGATGTGCTTAGGATTCAATTTCACTTCCAGGAAGATGGCTTCACTTCAAAAACGATAAAAAAAGGCAAACAATAAAAGGTCAAATAAGTTGACTCACCGTGAATCATGGCGGATAACGTCCGCAAGAAGCCACCATGCGTATGCCAAATAACATGCACCCAGACGTAGGTGCTGGCAAGAAACACCAAAAATTTCACTGGTATGAATAAGTAACAGATCAAATCTGATGTCGCCGTGACGCAAACGAATAACACGGAGAATTTCTGAAAGAAAGCTTTTTCGCCATGAAACTCCAGACTAGGTAAACATAAACAACAACAACAATAGATTAACGAATTGCTGAGGTAAAGCTTTTCAAACGGAACTGTTTCAGTGAGAAAACTAACAAACTAAAAGCATACCGCTGTATTATGGTTCGCCAACGTGACAACAGCGTTGTGATTTTTGTGCACAGCTTCATAGCCGGTGCGTAGAATGAGCCAAAATGGATAGAGTAGCTCGAAGCGAAATCCGCATAGCATATCGAGCGATATAACACCGATCCACAACAACATTAGGCGGACATAAATGATTGGTGTGGCGATGCTGAAATGAAACTAATGGAAATTTCTGTATTTACCGGCATACGGCTCATTCGTATATTAAAAGAGAAGTGGGCCCTTCGAGCTCTACATCAACCTATGCTGAGTGAGAGAAAAGCCAGCCTCCATCACACCATTTATGAGCATTTATATACTTCAACCCTCACAGAGAGAGCACTAACCCACGGTTTTCGAGCCACTGGGCAGTTCACAAGCAAAGCGATTTCGGAATGGCTGGTGAGCTGCTTCAAGGTTTACAGCTGTCAATCAACGCTTACTTTCAAATGGTTTGGGTTGCACATCTCTGCATTCGTTCATAAACGTCTTACAATTAGCCCAGCGACCAATGTTTGGTCAGTGACATACTTCTTGGTATAACCTCCACAAAGTGATCCCTTCTACTCGTTTTTTAGCTCATCATACAACGCTTACGTTCCGTTTGAATTACACAGCCGTGACAAAACAAATATTAGTTCTGGTCATGAGAAAAGAGAACTGTATATTGCTCCCCACTAACGGAGAATAACAATTTTCAGATGTACATTTTCCTACCAGCAATCCAAATTCCATGCATGCATACAAAATCAATTTACATTAAAAATTTCAAGAGCGCATGCATGCCGTGTGAGAGATACACCGAAAGGAGAATTAGAAGTCAAATAACTTGATATTCGGCATTGAGGAACAGAGAAAATTCGGAGCAGACTTGTAGGGAGCAAGGTGCACCTCATTATGCTAGACTCCTTCGATGGTGACTACAAGAACCTTTGGGAGGAAACCAAGGGAAATTCAGAAGATAAAGAAGATGAAGGCCAAAGTCTTCGGTTTAATCAATCCAAGTTTGGTTGCTCTAGGCGAGCATGGATACCGAGTTCGATCCTCGGACCATGGTGTGATTGTGCTCCATTTGCCACTAGGCCACCGTCAACTAGGTAGGAGAGAACTTCTCAGTATTTTACCCGAATCACATAAATCATGGTTTTGAAAACATAATCACAACGGTATGTGGGGAGGATTTAACGAGTTTCTCCGAACAGTAGCGCTCCAGCGAAAAAATTGTATTCGTGTCATATCGGACTGAGAAATAAAAAAAGGTAGCAGAGCAAGCAAAAAAATTAAAGCTCCACTCCACTCGGAAAGTGATAACAAATAAGAATGGGGAGTAGTAGCTGTAATCGTTGCAGAAATAGATAATAAACCAATGGTGAGGGCTACCTCCTAATTCTACGAAGAGAATCTAGAGAACCTCTCAGTAAAGTTAGTTTCGGCTCGTAAACGTCGATCTTGCCATGAAATGCACTGCAGAAGCTCGGGATGAACAAGAAAACTCTATTATATTTTGAATTACAGCCCTGATTTTTGGAAAGTACCCTTTCAGGACGTCGCAGTAAAAAGTCACAACTCGAAATATTCATAACAACGTTGCTCGGAGACCCGAGTTATAGAGTAATTGCTCGTTAGTGAAAGCTACACTGAAGTCATTTAGCCTACAATTACAACATACAAAACAACTTCTACTACAACATCGTACACGTAGCGAGGATCCCATAATATCAATCATACTATGGAGGTCTGCTCAAGGGAACTCTGTCAGCAACTTCCAAAAGCAGATCACTTCCCAAATACTCCTGCAACACATTGTCCTAGCTGTTCCCCCTTTGACATCGGTCAAACTTGTAATTTATCACTTGTTTTAGTTTCTATCATTCTTACAGTATAGCTTCACTTTATAACACCTGATAACCGACTTTCGCTCTCAATGAAATCGAAAAATTCTAAAATAAAATTATGGCCGCATTACACGGTCCGATATCACGAAAATTCCCCGTTATCAGTGACAGCATGGGAGCCGCAAACTACACAGAAAAAACTCTACACAGAAATCGGATTATCTCGCAAGCAGTAGATAGCTTTTATATTGCAAATACAAAAAAGCAAGGCTAGCAGACGCCAATAAAAAGTAATTATAAAGTTGTTCTATTGAAGAACATAGCCGCTGTCCCGGTAAATATTCTGCTCTCAAACCTGGTCGGAATCCTATGGCTTGAACTAATAAACCTTAAACATTGGGAAACATAAATCTAACATAATGATTTCTGATCAAACGAAGTAATCAAGGGAAAGCAGCAGCAAGCAATTCTTTCGAATATACAATACTACCTCAAATACGCTTTCCAACGTTTTTAAAGTTTTTGAAGTATGCTGGACAGACAATTACAGAAATCTAATGGAAAACAGATGCTATAGGAAAATAGGAACCCGTTCAAATAAGATCGCGACTCTGGTATTGGGACAAATCCATTTTCTACTTTCAATAAATACTAGAGTAAGTAAAAATACTGCGATCCGAAAATGTCAAAATATCCACATGTAATCCATATGAAAAGAACTGATTCACGGCGGTCAAACTAAGTAAAACTCACATACTGTACTCATTTACTCTTGGAAACAAAGACGAGCTCGCAAGCTACTTGGCTGCATGAATAATGAATAACCTGGAATAGCCACCCTACACCCAATTCAGTGTATTTTTCTCCTGGACGTGTCTGTTGTTAAGAAATAGATCACTAATGGAGGGGAACCCCGATAGATTCCTTCGGATTCGACCTCCAAATCTAGGAAAAAGCGCTGCAGGTCTTAGGGCTATTTCCTTTCCACCCTGTAGGCCCATATTCTGCTGCGAAACTGAATCGATTGAAAGTGCAAACAGTGCATATCGATCAGNTTTTTCTCCTGGACGTGTCTGTTGTTAAGAAATAGATCACTAATGGAGGGGAACCCCGATTGACTCTTTCAGATTCGACCTGCAAATCTAGGAAAAAGCGCTGCAGGTCTTAGGGCTATTTCCTTTCCACCCTGTAGGCCCATATTCTGCTGCGAAACTGAATCGATTGAAAGTGCAAACAGTGCATATCGATCAGGCGTCAAAAAGCAGGTTCGTGCCTTTGTCTTTTCGCAATATCGATGGATATATAGGATATAGTGAGAATCTTCTGATGAGTAGTCGACTTCAATCAGAATCCACAACCAGCGAAAAATTTTTTGACGGCCATATCTATGGCTGGGTCTATACTATCGAGTAACTCTGCCTACCACTAAAGCTTAGCCTTTATGATGCAGGCCATGAGCCGTCGAAACACTAACTTCAGTGTTTCATGGAAGCCTCTCCTGCTACTCTAACCAAAGCTTCATCCCTTGATACCTACTCTTCCCAAGGCATGGCAATTTATGCACTGCCTTTATGTGCCTATGGAGAATTTCGCAATAGCAACGCGCCATTGATATACCGTAGTATCGGAAAAGCTTGAACCTCAATAAAACCCAAAAGCTTGAACCTCAATAAAAACCATCGTTTCCTTCTATAGAGATCAGTTCCTTCTTGAATGTTTCCTCAACAGGCAGCGACTCCGCACCTACGCTTGACTGTTTCAGTATGTGAGGAGTAATTATTAATCCATGCAAAAGATGCTCGGAATCGATCCTCTCCCTCGTGCTTGTTGACAACGCGACAAATCCTATCACTTGACAACCAGCTACAATTGAGCCGCTGCACCATATGGCTTTAATGAGCGCAGGTGGCCGAGGCAAGGTAGGCCAAGAACGGAAATCGTAGTTTTTAGCTAGTAAAGTAGCAAGTAAGCGGAAGTGGCTCATTCAAGGAAACTAGGGGAGGGGATCCGAAAGGGTCACTGAGGCGGATAAGTAAATCACTCTCGCCTTTACGCTTTCCCTTGCCGTATATAGCCTTATGGCTCAGGGGTCTCGTAGGGAGGGATTTATCTTCATGTACCAAGCGATGCAGAAAAAGGGTTACTCACAATGATGCTCATTGGTAAACAAATTTATGCACTAATATCAGCTAGGAAAGCGTACACATCGTCAAATACAGATAGGCGCGCTAATAAGGAAAAGGGCAAACGTCGTTAATTGTATATTCAAACCGCTCAAAAACGGCGCTGTATAGGAGCTTCGAAAAAGTACAGTTGCGCATGGTCCCATTTTCTGCTAGTAACAACGTTTACTCGACCTCCATTCTCCTACGCTAAGTCATTTAATGAGGGGAAACGGAACAGACCAAACCAAGATAGAATAAGTTCTAAGCCTCTGACAGCATATTCGAAACATTATGAATGTTCAAAAAGAGTTGAAGGGACCATTCAAAAAAAAAGCCAAAGCACTCAGCACTCTGATGAAGCCATTTCAAGTCACAAACAATTTTAAACTTCTTCCACTGGACCTCTCAGGTGGTGTGCGAATAAGGACGACGATTAAATCTGCAGATACTGGGTATGCAAACGTAGTTGTACATCGGGGTGGGACGGGATATAAGAAAAGACATATAACGCTACATATATAATACATGCAGCAAGTTCACCCACGTTCCAGTTTTGCCTATCTAGACCGAAATTCTAGCCAATACTACAGCTACTTCCGATCTTAATCATGAAGCGAATTTGCACAGCCATATAATTCGAGGCTATTTCTATTTCTACACATTAGATGTATTCCAAAAAAAAAAGATGTATGAGGGATGAGGACCGTACTTATACCCAAAACACCTTCGGAAGTTGACTCACTTATTACTCTCCATTTAAAGCGATTTAAGGTCAAACCACTACACAATTCCATCAGATGATATGCTCAAGGCGTCGTCCGCCTTAAGGACCATCTTATACACAAGGATCATCTTAAGATAGGCAAGAGAAAAGCCATTGTAGCCTCGACTCGAAATTCTAGTCAAGGAGACTAGAGAATGTTATTTGACCATGTGCAATAGGGGCTCGTTGATCAGGTGGACATGTTGTCGTGCGCGGCCAATTACAATTCCTCTGCCTAGTCTCCGGAAGGGGAAAGATGATTGCCGTGCAGAATCGAAACAAGGAATAGGAGTAAAAGGTCGATCTCACTACCAAATACCTGGGAACATACCCTTGTTCAATTCAAATCATCACACCCATCGAAACCCACCCTACTGACCATAACCGATTATTATTATACTTAAGAAGCGCCTAAACAATGGGATTAATTTGTATCACAGCGGAGAATTAGTGGGAAATCGCCATTTTCGAAAAAACATGACAGTTTGAACAGCCGTCACCATGTGAGGTCAGCGATAAATCAAACGGTGGGTGGAACTGCTGTCCAAATTCTTAGATGAAACACAAGAAAACAATACTTGAATCTCGAAAGTATGCACCTGTCTCTGATCGGATCTGTCATACGGCCACCACGGCCCTTCATTGTGCGGCGCAGCTTCTGCGACTCGACGGCCCGCGCGCGTTTCTGCATGACTAAAACAGGGAGATGGTAACAATGACGATTAAATGGTGAGATGTTTTAGAAACGAAACGTAAATGCACCAATGGAGATGGCTATTCGCTAAAACACGAACACGAAGTTACGCAAAATAACACAACGTTAAAATGACAGAATTGTATCCCCACACCCGTCTCCAGTTCGCTGAAACGTACGCGATCAATTCATGTGTGTGACTGTGACTGCAGAAATGGCGCAAAACAAAGACGGGAAAAGGCAAAACAATGGAAATACCTATAATCAACGTCGAGACGACATAATCAGGTATTATGATGACGTGAGAGGAGAGGAGAAACTCACCTACAGCATCCTACAGATTCAGAAAAACATAAAACACTGCCTCCTTCGAGATACCCCGATAACGTTCGACCCACCAAGACCATCCCTCTTCGTCATTAGACACGTGGTCGATTACGGAGGACGTTCTGGGTCTTTTTTCCTCAACTTCGCGCAACTCCCAAACAAAAAACGGTTACGCTTTAAGCCAGGTGTACGTCAGAAAGACCATGAATCGCCCTTGTTGAACATGGCATGCACTGCGGTCGTCGTCGTGTTCCTTATTGAGTTGGAGAAACGTCGATATTCACGCCCGACACGTGATGTTTTGAACAAAATCGCGGTTTTCATGTCATCGAGGGGATTTTATAATTGGAAAACATGATTTTGGTTAATAATAACACTAAAGCCATCTATTCAACAAACCATGCTTGAAGAGAGCAATTAAAATTGAAAAAAATTAGTAATAAAGACGAAATAATCGAGAGAAATAGAAAAGTGCAACCATGGGACGACGTAGTGATGAATCTCACGTTGCCTTCTGACACCTAAACGATTCAGAACTGGAAAGATTGTCTACCCAATCATAATTCCTATTGTTTCTCTAATGGATCATCTTCAATTCGTCAGCTTCAAGTTGCTTAGACTTTAAAAGCTATCACAGTGAACTCCCGAATGTTAACTTTTGATTTTTCAACAACCTGCTGAGCTTATCAAAAGGTCATCGTCGTAAACGATCGAGACTTCGATGGAATTTTCTTGAAAACCACTTCGATGAATAAAAAATTACTTTCCTTCAAGGTCCCATCTATTACAGTATCTAGCCGTTCCATGTTTAATAAGTACAGTAAAAATGATCATGAATTAATACATATAGTTAAACTATCGCGATTTCGGTGCCCAAAAAGGTAAAAGGAAAAGAACTGACAGATCACATGTTCTACGGTCTTGATAAGGAACCATATCTCAAGACCAAAACTACTAAAATAACCAAAAAATAGTTTATTACCACTATGTTCCTAACAATAACACTTTTGGTAGCAGTTTCAAAAACAGATTCTTTTATAAAATCAAATCACTTCCAAATCACCATATTGTAAGGGAAAATGGTTGGATTCCAACCAGAAAGACTAAAAAGAATTTTAAAAAAGAGCTAAGGTTGTTGACTTGCAAAGCGCTCGTCACATGACCGGTCAGTTGGCCTATTTAAAAAAAGTGCATTTTTAAATAATATGAGTTTACGATCAATAATCAGTGGACGCTCCAGAACATACAAATACTCCATTGGGGCTGATGATCGAAAAAAACAGCTGTTAGAAGGGTACTGATGGATAAGGAAACCATGGGCATAATATCGATTTTCAAAACCCTGCAAGCCTAGCAAGAGTTTTTGCTCTGAATTTCTATAAACAATAAAAAATTGGAGATAAATGGAGTACACCACTACTGACAATGAAGGCAAAGACGCTTTTTTATGGATTGTAGTCAATAACGGAAAAATTCCCCCTCAAATCCTACAGTAACGTAGGCTGTCATGTACTCTTCTCATTCATTCGCTTACCATACAGAAAACCCTTTCCAAACAGCTGTCAAATTTTCCAAAGAAACGAAAACACTTCAAGTTTTGCGTCGCTGTTTTGATAGGCTTCATTTTTACACTACAGTGAGGTAACCTTCAAAATTTCCTAAGAATAATGATGTTCTGAAAGCTAATTTCAATTTGAAGGTCTATGTACAGAGAAGGAACACAGAACTGCCAAGTATTAAGAAATCTAAAATGGCCTTCCGCTTTAAACAGTATTCAACTCCCTTGTGCAGTCCTGAAATATCACCAAATACGGCACCTGGTTAGAAAAATATAACATTAAGGGGTTTCATTTCTGGTAAAAATAAAATTTAGAAGTTTTGAAGTCGCAGAATGAAGCAAAAATTATAGTCCTGTAAAGTAGTCGTTAGATATAATAAAAATGTGGTTGTAAGCAGAGGAACCAACTGTTTAAGCATTCATGGGAGGAAATTTGGGAGAATCATTTCAATCATTACATTATATTACATCCGGGTAAGCTTTCGCTCCCAGCAAAATCGGGGCGCACAGCAAATATCGATTAGAACCAGCTAAATAATTAAATTATTGGTAGTACATGCTCGCACTTCTAGAAAAACTTCCTCGACAAAAACTCGTCCACCATTATTGAGAAGATAATGGAACAAATATAAAATTACATTTTAAAAAAGAAGAAATTTAACTTTACAGACTGTACAGCTCGTCGGGAAGGAATGCCCGTTCCCCACACCGTTAAGGGGTTTCATTTGTAATGGTTAATCAGCTCTGAACTGCGACACTTCTATGACGAAGACGTGGGCAACGAAATTCGTCGAAAAAACCTTCAACAACTGGATAAATTCAATAATAAACGGGCAGATGCCACCTGCACGTAATGGATCGGACGAGTGGGAAAGCCTCCAAAGTGCGTGCCAACACATTTCAATAGATGTAACCAATTATTATCGATTGTCGTCGAGCTTGTGGGCAGGGGAGTAGGGAGAAGCCTTTACAAGTACGAGACGAGAAGGGATAAGTGCATATTACCCGGGTAACCAAGCTGCTGTGCTGTGCGTGATGATCGTGATGGTCCGTTGACGCCTCAGGCGTGCGCGGTCCCGTCACGTCCGCGTCGTCGGTCGCCGCCCGGTCCTCGCAACACCCTCGACGACGGCGCCGGTAATCGATTCTTCTTCTGTGGGTGATGCAAGCAACACGATCGATAACAACACAAAACATTAACCGAACAACAACTGGGGACACTTCGGGAACGAGTTAATCGCCTAACAACTTCAGGAATTATCGATCGATTGCGAATGCTAAGGTCATATGGCGATGGAGCGCCAGTCGATCGCCGCGCCCTTAGCACGCACAACCTGTTCCCAAACCACGATCCCAGATGAGTTGGATTAGGAAGATATTTGAAGGAAACAAGTGGGACCAATCGTGAAGAACTTAGATCCCTTGAAATGACCAGCGATCTGCCCTGACGAGCTGAGAACGCTGCGAAGTCGCCGTGGGGGAGCGCGCTGGCCCCATGAGCTCCCCCTGCTGACAGGGGTGCTCTGCGTCTCTGCCGGTGTCCATCGCACCGACGTGACACTCGCCGTCTGTTTCTCTTCCCCCCTCCGTCATTTGCAGCCAGCCAGTACGGGCACGTGTTGATCTGATACTCTCCCGTTTACTAGTACAACTGGAACCACCCGGTTCCCCCCACCCGGTTGATTGCTCTTAAGATGTGGGTGTGGTCTCCAGGATAATGTGTTTTGTACGATTTTGCCTATCACCCTGTTAGTGATAGTAATGAGCTTGTCGTTGGAAATGCATGGAAACGGTTTCTATCCACTTCGCTTACCTCGTAGATTACCCAGTAATTAGTATGCTTCGATAAATTACACACTGAAATATTGATTTCGCGATGTTACGGCTGGAATTGAATTGTGTCAAGTAGTGCCAGGACTGGGCGCCCACACCCACAAGTAGCGATAGGGATTAGGAGTTCCCTGTGAGAGTTTTTAATAGGATTTCAGTGATATTGAGTTTTTTATTCGTTTCTTTGAATCACAGAAACGAGAATTCATTACGTTCTTGATAATAAACTCTTATCGTTACCTCCCTGTTCCTTTAATTACTACCACGAAACTAAAACGTTATTTTATGAGGTTTTACGATTCATGAAGCAACAATGGTATTACGGTAGGAGTTTGAGACCGTACTGCTTGTCCATAAAAGATTGAAACTCCGTGGAAATGTTGGTAAAGGTGGGCCGGTCTACGTCTCTAACACTCGTAGCTAGAGCGTAGAGAAAGAGGGGCAGACGCTTTAGTCCGCTTGTGGTGATAATTAGAGAGGTTTCTTAGCCAGATGGATGTGGTTTTTTGCTCAAGCCTTGAGAGAGAGGAGCAGGGTGGGTGAGGTGGTTGCCTCGTGCAAAAAGCGGAGGTAGGGGAGGGTTTTGTTCAAATGCGGTGGCGTACCAGCATGCTATTCCTGTTGGGAGAGCGCCCGTTCACCCTGGTACTTCCCCCCCCCCTCTCCCTCCCTCCCTCCTCCTCCTCCTCCCCTGTGACTTTGGATCTACCCTATGTGGTTGCGGATATAGTCGGCGTCACACAGATACCGCAACATTGGCTCAGAGCACTTGATACGTATCGATCCGGAGATTCGCGGGAACTGCAGAGTCGCGAAGCCGATGCAAATAGGAAACGTATCGACCTGGTTGACTGCTATTTCGTTACTTTTCAGCAGAATTCGCTCTCCTCTGATCCTTCTATGACAATTGGAGGGTGAGTGGAGTGAGGCAAGTCGATATGCATGTAATCGCGTCTGGTTTCTGATCCTTTAAATCCACCTGTGTCGCAGTCGGCGCCGACGCCTCGACTGAATTGTCCTTGAAATGCTATTTTTAATTGGTTGATTTTCAATTGCGATTGATTCTTTTTTTCACGCGGAACTTCACACACGTTCTATGACGCTGTTCAAAAGACCTGTTCCTGTGTGAAAAGAAGACGTGAGATTCGTAAGCACCAAATCTTTAACGAAGTGTTTTTTACAGTGTCAGGTCAATCGGGCGGAATAATCAGCTCACCAACGACGATATGTGGGAAGGATAATTAAGTGGATGATGCTCAACTTACCAGTTCTCCGTACTACA